TCTCTGTATCCTGCAGCCACTGATGATTTATTAATTTTGTTTGTGTGAAGTTTCATTTCTGTGAAAATGTGGCATTTGGAATTTATGGAACACCTAGCACACCTAGCAAAGGCACTCCTAAAGCTAGTATTTCAGCAAACGTTTGACCTCCAAGCTATGCCACACTCATCTGTTTGCCTAGACGCGTGATTTCTGGCGCCAGTCCAGAGCTAAATCTAGAAGGCCACCAAACTTCTCCTATGAGTGTAGGTTTCAGCCTTCATAGGAGGCCAAGAGGCTTATAGAAATGCAGAGCTCCAGGAGGATTCATCGACAGCATCCACAGCATCCTTCCCTAGAAACTGCTGCCGTCCTCTCCCTCCTCCTGGTGCCTCTGCCCTGGGCTCATCTGAGGCTCTGAAATACCCCTGTTTATATTTGATCTGCAGGAACGAGAGCATCCCTTTCCAGTCTYGTTTTTTTTCTATGCCTATCTGTGCTGCTTAAAATGTTATAATTAAGAATGAGGGTGGGGAAGGGTTATATATTTAAGTACTTAGTTAAAGACTGCAGCTATTTATGGTAATCTATAGATCTATGATCTGATAGTAACTTCTGCTTGAACACATCTGATAGTATCCTCACAGTTGTACTTCACTTGTGCAAGAGTCTTCAACAGCAATCATTCCAAGGAATTTTAAATTTTTCATTATTGTAAGGTAACTGACCTAAGAGCTACATTTTTTATTTAAATTGTGTTGGTTACTGCGGTAAAATACTCTGCTACAAAAGGTATTTCATACTTACATGCCCTACACACAAAGAAAAGGATAACGTTTTCTACTTAAAAGCTATCAAAGATGTCATAACTTGCAGACACCAATTAAATTGTCTTAATACCTTTGTATTTGCCTACAGTACTGGGGAGGATTAGATTTCATTCTTGAAATTCACAACAGAAATTAAACTGCTTTGTGTGAAGTTTGAAATGATACTTGTTAAACTTCCCAAACGTCTGCAGTATGGATTTTCTCACGTTTTGGTTTGAGAACATTTTTTGAGAGAAATTCAGTACAATGCTCTTTTTATGCTTTGAATCTGGAATCTCTCTTTGGAGAATAATATTTTTGGAGAATAATATATTTTATGTATAAACATATATATATATACACACACACACCTATATATATACATATATATATATATACACCTATAAATATCTATATATAAATATATAGATATGTGTTTACCACTATTTATTGGGAGAGGTCACTAGATTCTCAGATTATTTCCCTCCCCCTCCCCCCCAAAATTATTCAAACCATCATTAACCTGTGGAAATGTATAGTACCCTCTATTGTCACTTTTGTTCCCCTGCTGTCCTCTACTTCTCCAACACTTTTTTTTAAATCCATTTCCACCCCCTTCACTCTTTATTTAAAGTAAAAGTAAAAGATAGAGTAAAATTGAGGGAGCATCTTGGATTTATACCGTGTAACAGTATTTCTTACTGGAAATACAGTGGTGGAAATTTGTTTATTTGTTAGCTTTGTTTTTATGCAGGTATTTGATTGTTGGCTTCATCYGTATTTGTATCTTTCAGAATTACATTTAATGTTTTCATTGATGGATAAAGTTCCCAATGGAATAGAGCCCATGTTAAAAGACTTGGAAGAACATATTGTTAGTGCGGGACTTGCAGATATGGTAGCAGCTGCTGAAACTATTACTACTGTAAGTATATTGGCTTAAAGTGTTTATCACTTGTGAGTTCTATTTAGGGGAAATAGCACATGTGAATGTGAATAATGTTTAAAAACTTCCCAACTCTCAAGATTTGAAAAGTCCAGAGACTTTTCCYGTTCTTTTCAATTTTGTTGCGTCAAAAAGTGAATCCAGTTTGTAATAAAGAAAAACTTATAAATTAGATACATGAAAATATGGAATAATCTCATATATATATCAATATATCAATAATAATGGTATTGCATTAGTATCTTAATTGGCATAATTAATTTACTTCTTCTTGAAGAAATTCAAGCTTTGTTTTCAGTCTCAGAATGATTGTGCAATGTAGAAATTGCTGAAAGGTTGTATTTATTTATTTATTTATTTATTTATTTTCCCTCACTTCTTTTTCAGCTTTTCAGCTTTATCATCTTCTGGGTCTAGGTATATTGAGTGTCAGCATCAGTTAGGATGTGCCTTTTATTAGTCCTTGTAATCCTTGTAAACTTTTTTTTTTTCATTTTGCAGTTAAATCTTTGAAAACATGCGTGTGTGCTTTTCTTTTTTAATGTAGAAAACACTTCTGTAAGTCTGTGTTGAGACTTATGCACTGTAAAGTTCTTTAGTAGAGTATAAAGTTAAGCTGCACATTGATGGTTAGGCAGTTTTAGGATCACTGCCTTATTACAAGTTTCATTTGTAAGCTCACAGTAACTGCTATGAAGCCTATTTTTATTACTGTATTTACTGCTATTTTGATTTCTTTTTCCTCTTTAGGATTCTGAGAAATACGTAGAACAACTGCTTACGTTATTTAATCGATTTAGTAAGTTGGTTAAAGAAGCTTTTCAAGATGATCCCAGATTTCTTACTGCAAGAGATAAGGTATCTTTCTGCTGACCTCTTGTTTTCAGCATTTTAAGAATTGTGAAATGCATATTATGACATCTCTGAAATCCTTGTGCACATTCATTTTCAAATCTAGAAACTGCTTAATAGCTGAAGTTGACTAAAACATTAGTAAAACTTACTATCAATTGTTAATGTTCTGTTTATTCTGATTTCTAATGTTGTGCAGTACCTCTGAAGCCATCTTTGTGTTGAGCAGCTTGAGTTTTATTTTCTGATGCAACATTAARTTCATGTTTAGGATTTACTCCATACATAAGTTTAATTCCATGACTTCAAACACACAGTCTGTTCCAWGCAGTCTCTTCCAAGATTGTTGCATGGAAAAAAAGGAAGTTAGTGAACTTYTATGCTGAAAATCAAGTCCATAAATTTAGGACTAATAAATGAAGTAGATGAATTTGTAATGCAGTGTTATATCTAAAAAAGGGAAATGAGGTCCATGTAATTTCRTACTTTGAAGAGAGAAGTTGAATGGAGCACTAGTAACTTGTATTTGTTTATCTTAGGCATACAAAGCAGTTGTGAATGATGCTACAATATTTAAACTTGAATTGCCACTGAAGCAGAAGGGGTAAGCCATTTATACTTTCTATATGAAACTTTTTTTTATATATTTTGTTAAACATCAAGCTTCTGAGTGTTTKGAGTTCTTTGCACAGTGCAGCTTGTCATTGGGTTATAAAAACTCTTGTTTAGACACCTTTCCCAAGGCAGGAGGTCAAAAATGTAGCCTATGGAAACTCAGATTTGTTTGTTGTAACTGTTACTGTTATCATGGAGTAGTGGGTCACTTTGTTAGCTGCACTAAGTAAAGCTTTCCAGAATTATTGTTGTGTGCAATACTATTGAAACCTCAATAACAATCTGAGGGCAAACTGGGGCAAAAAGGGGCAAACTGAAGCTGTGACCTGTGTGAATCAAGGGAGTGACCTGTGTGGGCCAAAGTATCAATTTTGGTTCAGTGCAGGATCAGTTGTGTTAAACAGCTTCCACCAGGAGATTAAGGTAACTGCACTCAAAGAACCAAAACAAACAAATCTTACAGTAGCCAYGCTGATAACTCAGCCAAAGGGAGGGAGCAGTCAGGTAATTAAAGCTGGTGTTTTAAATATGTGATATGCCACCTGAATGGGAATCTGTATATGTTTATGTAATTGTGATTACCTACTTGTAATTACTGTAGAAACAAAGTTTGTGTGGTTCGGCCACTCACCTTTTAGTTTGTCAAGTTATATTGCAGTTGACTGAAGGGTGCATGTCTCAAACTTCTACACTTCTTAGGAAAAATAAGAACACAGATGAAAGACAGTTTGCCCATAATGGTGTTTTCCTCTAACAGTGGTTCTGTGGTAAGAATGGCATAAGTTGAGGTGCAATATCCATCAACAATTTAGTATACATAGAGTCATCTAGTAATAGATGTGACTTCAGGAGGATGTGATCAGCACAAGTGTCACTAACAAACTGTAATTGCTGGTGAAAGTCGCAGCTGATAAGACAGTTGTTGAAAGGTCTAAAATCATCTCGTGCTGGTTAGGGCGTGAGCTGTTCTGTGACAGTTGATATGGTTTTGCCCTTGAGATTTCTAAGAAAGCAGCAACCTGAGTTTCAGAGATACTATTAATGAATTTTCTAGGATTCTTTAAATTTTGTAGGGTGGATTCAGGGACTATGGAATGGAATATTGACATAGTGTAGGTACAACTCTACAATCTGTAGTAATTTCACCTAAGTTCTCCAGGAGCCTCAGATAAAATAGGTATGCTCTTTTATAAGAGCCAAACCAATTGAAATGATTCTGTGTATCATCTGTTGGTGTGGATAAATGGTGTATTTTTCAAATTTCAGGTTTATCACCTGGCTCTTTTTTCAGGATAAGGGATCATCGTTACCCGGAAGGTCTCTGTATATACCCCTCTTTATTCAGGGGAAAGGCATGAAACTGTCTTCTTATTCAGCATCCCCGAGTTCGTGTGTGTGCTTGGCTCTTACTCTGATTTTGGAGTAGTGATAAACCTTGCTGACTTCATATTACTGAGCGTACACCTTCACAAGGGGCTGCCTTTGACTGGTGCAGTCATAGGCAAAGTAGAAAAGGGTATTTTAGGTCTTAGCTAATGCTTTAATTTCCCTGTGGGAACATCCAAACCAATACCTCAATAAAACCATGCTTTGCTCCTTGGAAACCCAGTCTGTCTAGTAACGTATTTTAGGTTTTGGGATTTTTCTGTTTGTTTTTCCCCAAAGCTGAAAGTCTCTTTCTTACCCTCATGATGGTGGTGGTCCTYCTTCTGTGTATTCTTCTCAGTCTTCTTTTGAGTTACTTACTTGTGCAATCTGTTTTCAATTGAACTGCAACTATATCCATCTAATATATACCATTAAATTTAGCTTAAGAATATGGGATTCAGTGATTTCTGTGTGCTGCCAGCATCCTAAGGATACCGGGTCAGAAATACCAAAGAACACACAACTTGAGCAAGAATTCTGTCTTGTAATGGCCAAGGCTGTCGATGACTCTCCTTGCACTGTGTTTCGGGCTCATTCAAATACCTCTGTCCAGGATAATGTCAYGGAGAGAAGTGGCCCTGACCATTCAAGACAAGCCCTGAAGTTTGTGCTTCCTGACTGCAGGAATAGAGTTTGATCCCTGGCACTAATTTAGTAGAAATGAACAAGTTGTAGGTGCTGTCTGAAAATGCTTGGTGATATTTGCTATTTGAAGAAGAAAGGGGAATTTTCTTTAATTTTCATTTTTCTAACAAGAATGTGAATTCATTGGTAGGGTTCTTGCAAAACAGACAGGGAAAGGCTGGTCAATGTGACAATTCCAATATAGAATAACTTGAACTTGAAGCTTTGTTCTGTTGTTTTGTTTAGTGTTGGACTGAAAACACAGCCTGAGTCCAAATGCCCTGAGCTCCTTGCTAATTACTGTGATATGTTGCTAAGAAAAACACCACTAAGCAAAAAACTGACCTCTGAAGAAATTGAAGCAAAACTTAAAGAAGTGGTATGTTCTTGCTTTCTACTTGCTACTTGCTCTGAAGAATTAATTTGGTTGGCATGTTTCTGGAAGCGGTTTAATGCCCTCATCTTGAAAATGAGTTATTCAGGGTGTAAAATTGGGAAGAGAATTTGTTATATAATAAAGTGTGTGTGTGTGTGTTGTAAACCATGCAGCGTTTTGAGTCTCTGTCGGCAGTTCACAAAATGAATTTTCTAATTTATTGCCAATATCCAACTGTATAGTTTATTACCGTAACTGTACGTCATGCATTCTGGTGTAGAAAGTGATACAAGAGTTTTTTATATATCAGTATTTACCAGAGATTCCTTGATGGTTGACAAATGAAAAAGTGACAGATAGGATATTACAAAAGACTCAGCTGTTACCTGTGATATTGTGGCAGTTCCTTTTAAGGCAGTCTCAGGTAGTTATTTTCTACTTTCTAGTCCATAGTGTTATTAGATGATCATGGAAAGACTTGTCTACTTTAACAATTCAGGCAAATACATTGAGCTCTGCTTCTCTTGACAGCTTTTGGTACTTAAATATGTACAGAATAAGGATGTTTTCATGCGGTATCACAAAGCTCACTTAACAAGACGTCTGATATTGGATATATCAGCTGATAGTGAAATTGAGGAGAACATGGTGGAATGGCTCAGAGTAAGTAGCCTAGTGTTTTGCCTTACTTGCTCATTCCTGCTGCTTACAATATTAATTGTCAGCCCTGAACTTAGATGTCCTTATTGCTTAGGTGAGTTCTGTTTTAAATTAAAAGCCACTTTTGCCATCTTACCATTCCTTATTACTGCAAAACTTTTTTGAAAATAAAACAGCTTAGCTCTTTCCTAAGAGAAGGATTGACCCTAGTAGTGGTAGTTACAAATACTTCACATATTCAATATTTGAAGCTTTCAGATAGTCATGTGGAAATGACCACAATGTGTTTKACTTGTGTTTTAGTTGTTTGAGCTTCATGATCAGACTAACTGAAATTTTGTATGAATTAAAATATGATTTCTGCACCGTAAATGTTCCCTCAAATCTCAGAATTCGTTTTTTCTGCAAAGTTTGCCTATGTTTTTAAGCACGTGGATTTAGAGAATCATCATGTGTCCTTGAGAATAGCTACCTGTAATCCATGAAAAGTTCATCATTATAAATACACTATTTATTAATATACACACATATATCTATATTTGTATATATTTTTATATACATATTGAATATAATATTCTTTGCTGTTGTATCATTTTTGAAAATATTATTTTGTTGCTAAAGGATTTTGTTCTCAGCTGTGTTTAGTTCAGTGTCCTGTTTGTTTTCCCAGGAAGTAGGTATGCCAGCAGACTACGTAAATAAGTTGGCTAGAATGTTCCAGGATATCAAAGTATCTGAAGACTTGAACCAGGCCTTCAAAGAAATGCACAAAAACAATAAACTTGCTTTGCCAGGTATTGTTTTTCAAATGATTTGCTATTTTTCATTTCTTTCAAAGAAAAACAATTTTATTGAATATTGAGTTAAAAAATGAGCCAGATTGAACAAACTTTTCAGGACTTAGTTACCCGCAGATTTGAAGTGTCTGTACTCTGATTATACTCTAATTTCTCTCACAATTAACTCTAGAGCTGTGTCATCTTTTTAAGTTACTTGCTTTATTTTTTTTTTTCTTTGTGAGCAGTCTTGAAGATACAAACTCCCTGTTCTCATCATTTAAATGCAAGCAGAGGCTGGCTCCTCAATAAGATGAATGCCTTAACTACCCCCTTTTTTACATCATTCATGGCTGCTTTGCTGTGTTTCTCCTTCCCTTATGAGCAAGAAAGATGGATGCACACTAATTGCAGATACATGATTGGAGCTGTTGCATTTCACTGAGGAGAGAGGCTGGGAAGCAGCTTGRTGTTTATCCTTTATACTTGAAGAATTATGTGATCCCTTGTTGTATTGCAGCTGACTCTGTGAATATTAAAATTTTAAACGCTGGGGCCTGGTCTCGAAGTTCTGAAAAAGTCTTTGTCTCACTGCCCACGGAATTAGAAGATCTCATCCCAGAAGTTGAGGAGTTTTATAAAAAGAATCATAGTGGTAGAAAACTGCACTGGCATCACCTCATGTCCAACGGAATTGTAAGTTTATAGTTCTTAGTATGTCTCTTTTAATGTCTGTACTTTCTTGTGTCTTTATAATATCAAGAAAGCTGATATTCTAGAAAGATTTAGAAGCAAAAATGTGTCTTTCTGTTCCCAGATAACTTTTAAGAACGAAGTTGGCCAGTATGACTTGGAGGTAACAACATTTCAGCTGGCTGTGTTGTTTGCATGGAACCAAAGACCCAGAGAGAAGATTAGCTTTGAAAATCTTAAACTGGCAACTGAGCTCCCTGACGCAGAACTTAGGAGGACTTTATGGGTATTTCCCTTTTTCTTGAAACAGATTTTTTTCTTTTCTTTTTTTTTTAATCTGAAGTATTGGATTCATATTTTTAACTTCATGAATATGAGATGTGAACACCGTTGCTACTTATTAATCAGTGGTAGTGGTGACTCCCTGCACGACTGTTGAGCACATGCAGCCTTTGCATTAATGTGTTCTCTCTTCCCAGAATTATTTAGTACTTGGAAGCAGCAAGATCTTTCTGCCCGTATACTTACTGCCTAAAAAACACGATTGTGATTGTGGGTAATGGAGTGGGACTGGTCTAATTCTAGCTATTCAGGGGTACCTGCTAAATGTATGTTGCTTAAAAATAACTTGTTTGCTCTGTCTTTGAATTATTTGGCTTAAGAATATAGAGACTAGTCAATTAAAGGAAACTTAACACTGGAAGCTACCTCTTCAGGTGTAAATTCATGTATTTTACTTCTTCTGTATAACCTTATTTATGCTAACTCGTTTCAAAAAGTGACATGATAAGCTGTGTTCCCTCTGGAATTTTACTGGGGTTTTCATGTTGTCTTCCAGCAGCTCCAAACAACATTATGTAGTTCCACACAGCAGGAAACTGTGTTCTTAAGTAGCTGTTGTTTCCATTTGGAAAGTCTGGTGTTACATTTTCATTCTTTTTTCCCCCCTTTTTCTCTGTAGTCTCTTGTAGCATTTCCAAAGCTGAAACGTCAGGTTTTATTGTATGAACCTCAAGTCAATTCACCCAAAGACTTTACAGAAGGAACCCTCTTCTCGGTGAACCAGGAGTTCAGTTTAATGTAAGACGATGTTTGAAAATGAAAATAACGTGTACTATTTTAGAATTAAGGGAATTCACTTAAATCTTCATCTTTGGAAACTTTCAAGATTCAGCTAGGCAAATGCTTGGCTGCTCCACTTTTCACTTGAGTTTTGGTTGTGTTATGCTTCAAGTAGCTGCTGGGACTAGATGACATCTAGGGGCCCCTTCGGATGAGTGCCTCAATATAATAATAGTAAGCAGTTTTATTTCCCCTTTAAACTTATCACTGTTTTTGAAACAGCAGGGGAGGTAGAAGTAGCAGCACAGTAGCAATGTTCTGCTTACCAGCTGCTCTTCCTGTATGAAGGAATCTGGTGGAATCYTTAGGAACAACAAGATAGCAAAGCTTCATATTTTGTACCTCATCCATACATGCTTAGGAAATTTATGATTCCGATTTCTGTGGAGTAAAACTGCTTAATATTATTAAGCAGTATATTATTATTAAGCACCATTATTCAGGGATTATGGTGCCTTGTAACCATGATTTTGACGAGAGGCACGTCTTTATTTCGGTGAAAGTTGCAATACTCTCTTCTTGGTGTTTTGAAATCTTTCAGAACATAATATATAGAAAGAAATATATATACTATTCACAGAATCACAGAATGACCGAGGCTGGAAGAGACCTCTAGAGATCATCCAGTCCAACCCCCTGCTCCAGCAGGGACACCCAGAGCACGGGACACAGGGTAGCAGCCAGGCCGATTTAGGAGATCTCTGAGAAGGAGACTCCACAGCCTCCTTGGGCAGCCTCTTCCAGGGCTCTCGCACCCTCACAGGAAACTTCTTCCTCACAGCACATTTTTATTTTGATTATTGCCTCTCCCTTGCAAGTAACTGTGAATAGAACTGGCTCCTTGCTGTTAATCTGGGATTCTGGGCCTCGCTTTCCCTAGCACCTGGACTTACGGATCTGTGGAGAGGGAGGTGCCAAATCTCCTGCTCCTGGTGCACAGGTGCCCAGRGGCCACGATGTTCATTCTTCTTATCAGGATCATAAGCTTTGAGAAGTGATGACAGGACATAAAGAAGAGACAGGCTGAACAGAAAAAATGTGGGTGAAGAATGTCATCAGCTTTTGCTATATTTATCTTTTCTTTATTTATGATATGCCTGTTTTTAYATGCTTATTTTAATTGAAAAAAGAACTAATTCCAATATATAAAGTTCTCTTTAAAGGCTTATTTACAGAACCCCATTTTTTTTTGTGTATATATATATATTTTTTTTCTAGAAATTTATTCTTTAAAATATTACTAGTTACTTTTCGGTGTTGGACACTGTCAGTTTCTGCTGATGGATGTTCTAAGTGCTGGTATATTCATTTTTCTGTTGATGAGAGAAAAGGATGTTGTGCTTGGATTTACCACCCAACTACCTCATTACTGCACTACTAACAGCCTATAAATACCTGATATAAGATGGTGCCCCGTGCTGTTTTAACGCAAGCTTAATGGGAATTCCTTAATTGAAAACGTATTTTTGGCTTATCTTTACACAATACAACTTTTTCAGAAAAAATGCTAAAGTTCAGAAAAGGGGCAAGATAAATTTGATCGGTCGCTTGCAACTTACGACGGAGAGGATGCGAGAAGAGGAGAACGAAGGAATAGTCCAGCTAAGAATATTGCGAACCCAGGCAAGTCCCCCTCACAGGGGAATGTAAAAGTGTTTTAATTCCTTTCTTTTGTTTTTGCCGTTACACACTATCCACACTGACAGCTCATGTATGAAATGAATGTTTGTGTCCTTTGGAGATGCAGAYACCAGGTATGTGTGTCGGGGGGTGCTCTCCCCTGGAGGTGGTAGCTTAGGCTCATAGGGTGAATAAATGTTGGATTTTAGTGACTAACTCACATGTGGATAAAAGATGTACCCATAGGTTCACCTTCTAAAGCTCGTGACTAGAGTCACCCTATTTCTCCTGCATCTTGGTCATGCTTCAGACTGGTACTTTGCTTATCAGCCTTTCTGTAAGAACAGGTCCTTGAGCTGTTCATTGAGCATAACTACTTATGCTGAGAAATATAGCAACAGAGTGTGACTTTGTACCTAAYGAACTGGTACATTCAAATTCAAAGCTCTGTTATAGTACATGGATTTATAATTTCAATAATATTTTTCAGGTAGCCTAAATTAACCTTTGCTGTAGTTTTCCCTGCTTTGAGTTTTGCCAAGCTCTTAGTAGCACCTCATGAGATGACGAAATCCATAGTCTGATTTTACATGTAAAACATGTTCTTACTGCATTTTTCCAACATTCCCAACATTAGCTTTCTTTATTCTTTTTTTGGTGTGTATGTTATGAGACTGGGAGAAGAGAACTCCCAGTTTTCCCCCCGACCCCAACAATCTTTATCCTGTTTTATTAGGACATTTAAAGCTTAGCTGTGGTACCCTGCATAGCCAAGTGGTTGTGATTCACGAAGGGGAGCATCCTACTTATAGTGGGGGCTTGGTGCTCTCCTCTGGAGCAGGTTAAGATCACCCTCATTTGCAGAAGGGTGTAAGCAAGAGTGGAAATTGGCCCTGTCTTGTTTTAATTGCCACCCAACTAATACACAATATTTACTGTGTCGTGTTGTATTCAGACCAGCTGATGTTAAGATCAATTTTCTGTTTCGTATTTAAGGAAAATACTTGTTTTGCTCTACAACGATCTCCCTTTGTTTTCTTCGTCACTTCCATCAGATATTTTAAAGTGTGTGGAAGTGGGTGGGGGTCTGCGCACACATTTTTTTATATATATAAAAATACACACACAYATATATAYACACACACACACACACACACACATATACATGTATAAAATGAAATATAAAAAATCACGAAACTTCTGTTTTGTTTTCTCCACCAGGAGGCTATCATCCAAATAATGAAAATGCGGAAGAAAATTACTAATGCCCAGCTTCAGACTGAACTGGTAGAAATATTGAAAAACATGTTCTTGCCACAAAAGAAAATGATAAAAGAGCAAATTGAATGGCTTATAGAGCACAAATATATCAGAAGAGATGAGTCGGATATCAACACCTTCATATATATGGCATAATCTGAGGACTCCGAGATGCTGAGAACACCAGTGGAAGGGTGCTTGGACAGAGAGCTGCAACAGTGAATGCTGCAGAAGGACTCGCTTTGACTTTCGTTACGTATAAAATCCCTGCCTTACCTTAAAGAGGACTCTRTTTTGCCAATCTCGTTCAGCTAGCATGATGGCATTCCCTTCATGTTGCACACTTCTAACAGCATGCTGTTTTGTGGGAAACTTGCATTCATGAAGAGCCCATTGTGAACTTTTTAAAGTAGGTTTGATTTACACCCACCAGGAAGAATACAGGTTTGGGTTTTTAGATGACCAGTACTTGCACAAGGAAAAAAAATACTCAAATATTCATGCACTGAGGAACTGCTATTAGTTTTGTTTTTGTTTTGTTTTTTTAATGCAATTAGAACTAGAAGTAGCACTTTCACTTTGTGTTTTGGATCAACAGAGTAACATACTGTCCACCTTTGATCCTTTTTACATAATAACATTTGAGAGACACGTACATATGCCTCACAATTGATATGTATTTGTTACAGTTAAAACCTCTTGGCTAGAGCAGTGCTTCAATCTAGTAACTGGATTTTAATAATTGACATGCAAGTGACATGAAAGTAATTCCAACTGGTGAGTGATACTTTTCCTTAAGCAGGAGATCATAGTTCTTTATATTGTTTGCTGAAAACAAATGGATATACATTATTTCTTATTTGGGCAAATGATTTGCTACAATCTTTTTGAAGAGATGAAGCATTTTTTTGAATGATACTTCACTCAAAAAAAAAAAAACCCAGGTTTTTGTGGGTGGGTCTGTTATAGTGAACAGAAATATTAAGCGTATTTCTGTGTACATTTAATATTTGTATTCCAGATATTTAAGTATGACTACAAAAATCTGAATGCATTAAAGAGTCATTGATGCACAACTCTCCCAGAAAGAAAGTAATACCTGAAGATTTCTGTATTAATTCCTCTTGGGTAACTTTATATATACTGGTGAGGTTAATCAGATTGGACTGTTCATTTGCCAGAAAGTTAACATCTTTATGTGGAAAAAATGAACCCTCTACTTTTTCAAATGTCAGGAAATAAAACTGAAAGAAAATGGTAAAATTTAAGAGGAAATTTAAGGGGAAATGTACCATGTTTAGAGTATACAGAGAGAGTGCCAAATACACATCAGGATTTTTAACCTTTTATATTTTATATACATACATATATATATGTATATGTATGTTACCTCTTTTTTTTTTTTTTCAATCATCTTAAGTAGCTTTTTGGCAATGCCTGATTCTGGTACTTTGAAATGCCCTGGCATGTCCTGGCCTGGTACCACACGTCCTTGGAGCAGAGTGCCTGTCTTGGGACAGAAGGTAAGTTGAGCTTTACTCAGTTCTTTGTGAGTCCTCCATAAATGTCGCAGGCAGATGCACAATTTTCTTTTAATTAACCAATTCAAGGACAACATCCAAAGGTCTCCTCTCTTTTGATGATTGAAAGGGGGAAGAGGACACAATAACTTTACTCCAAAAGTGGAATCTCCCAGGAAATATGGGGAGGAGTTTTGTTTTCACATGGCTGCTGCAAAGTGTAAAATGAGTTGTTTAAACGTAGGGTCGCTACGAGAATGGTTGTTTGTCCCCCTTAAACAGACTACGTGGTCTGTTACTAATGTAAGTGCCAGAGTGAGAACAGTACGTGCATCTTGGATAAGAAATCTGCAGGAACAAGGGTTTCATGAACAAGAGATGGAGAGAAATTGAGACCAGGCAAATTAAAATGAATTGAAATCTCACAGCTTATCTTATGTGCTTTTGTTGATACCCAGAAGTGGATGCTGTTAAAAAATACTGCATCTCTTACCTTAGCCCTGTAGTGTTGCTATTCAGAATCAAAAGCAAGTGCTGCTCTATGTAATTAACCAGTAAAAACTATTTGGATATTATAAATCAGAAGACAAGATTCTAATAAAATCTTTGTGCTACAAGATTTTCAGTATTTGTAACCTCCATTAAAAGTAATTAATGCTCACTTGGGATAATTGGGGGGAAACGTGAGAGTCCAAAATGTAGTCGGAGAATATCAGGTTTGAGCTTGTCATGTACCAATGACTGAAAAGGTGGGATACTCATTGCAAAGCCATTGATTTAATTTAAGAGAGAAGTTTGAGATTGTTTCTCAAACACGACTGCTTTAGAAGTCAGAGTGTATGCAGACAGCAGTAGATTGCTGCAAGCTGATTAGCTGCATTTTCCCTCCAATTAGTAGATATGAAAACATAACCTCAATGTTATTTATATACTTCTCTGCACCAGGATGCAGAAACATAACGGGTTATGTGCCTATAACGTGGTCATATTTCTTTAAACATATATAATGAAAACAGATATGGGTAGTTGATTTGTTTTGTTGTTGTTTAATTAAATCTGAGAATCACACCAGCAAATTTGTTAAGGATGCAGAAACTCATAGAGCTCCTTCATCAGGTCACCTTCACCAATATGCACTTGAAATGAGCATCATCTGGGGCACAGGGAGAACCTGGGGCAAACTGTTCCTTGAGGGAGGGTGGCGTTCAAACCTAGATGAAAATGGACTATTCCTCAATGGCAATATGGCAACAACGCACTTTTCAAGCTGCAGTTTTTAGCTCTGAGTATCCATGTCCAAAGACCTAGCTTAAAGAGGTGCTGCATCTGCGAAACACGTTGCCACACACACTGCCACGGTGAACAGCCATGGGATGGACTTCAGTGTCGGAGAGGTGGGGAAGTCGCTCGTAATGGGTTTAATTAAGAAATACTGTTAAATCTTTCCCTGTCCCAACGTCACGATGAGSATCTCAGTTTCAATTCTGAAGTCTTCCACATTTTCCTCTTTCCACCGTTGGTGTCCCTGGCTTCTGTTTTTACTCATCTACCTTTCATTTGTTACAACTGTAATGCAATCGCATTTCCAAGACAAAACGTGACTTTCTTGTTTTCACCTTTTTAAACTTACTAGAAGTGTTTTGAATGTTCACATGTTACATTTATTTGCATCGGGATGCCATTGTCCTGTAAAGCGTAAATTTTAAAAACACAATTGGCAAAAGATTTGATAGTTTTACAGAAAGATTTGCTATCTTAAACTCGAACAGTTTTCTATTTTCATCCAAATGACTGGGATGCTATCTTTGTAATTCTTTGAGGTCATATTTGTGAAATAAACAATACATGAAAGCTTTCCTGTCATATACACTATCTGTAGTCTGGAGTGTTGAGCAAACTTGAGTTCCTGAGTTGTGATATCTATCTACGTATGGTATTTACAATTTTGAATGTGTGCCACTACCAAGATAATGCTGTACAATTTTGAATGGTGGTAGTTTCTGTATGGCAGTCCAGCTGAACTATTTTGATGTACTGCTTAATTTTTGAATTTTATTTTTTAAGTTGTATAATTTATTTTCTTGCAAAATAAAAATGTAATATAAAAGACTGCTCATTTTAACAAGGTATTTTGCTGTTTTCCCCTACAAAATAGTCATTTTTGATTGAGATTGAATTCAGGTACTTGTTAGGTGTTGTATGCTAAAATATGCTACGATGGGAAATCTGGCTGATTCCAAGTCCTGAAGTCAATTCTCATCAAATAGATTTGCAGATCTTGCTCCTTCTTATGATTTTCAAGTACTTAAGGATGGATGTGGGGCTGCTCAGTCTGTTAAGCTGTTTTTTAAGATGGGCTGTAGAATGTCTAAGTACGTGTGAGTGTGGCCTGCCAGAAGTGATTGAAGATGATGAAAACTTGTTCGTGACCTCCCTACAAATGGTTACATCTCCATGACAATTACTGGGACACTTGCATTCCGGAGTCTCGTAATAGATTTGTCTCTGAGTGTCACTGAGTTACTGGACGTGCCCCCAAATGRTGCAAATTGTTGTGACCTTGAGGTGGTTGGTCCTGCAGTCAATAAAAAGGGATGTGGGCCTTGTTGGCTGCCCCAAGGAGAGCTACTGCTGGGATGGCTCATCTTGGACTGCCCTTGATTTTTAATGTGATATTTCTTACATTGCATCATCTCCTTTTTATATATTTTTTTTCTTTTCTGTGCACTAAGTAAACTCAGTGTTTTGARCTTCCTGATATACAGAAAGGTTAGAATTATTTCTGCAGAGTAAACATTATTTTTGAGTGCCTCTTGGGAGTGCAGAGCAGTTTTCAGACTGGCAGTCCTTGCACGCAGAGATTTGGTAGCTCAGTGCTCTTCCTCTCGCTGTTGGGGCCAAGTTTAGTCTTTCACATCTGAAGCACCTCTGAGGGTGCGTGGTCTCCTGCTTTGGGCTGCTGATTTGGGGCACAATCAAAGCAAATCTAATCTAAGGAAGAGCAGCTGTGTGCTGAGTTCTAAACAGCCAAAAAGACTGAAAATYGAAAATACCAACTGTGAAGTCAGTATGTTCTAGCTGTTCTTGGTGGGAAGAGATGTTTAAGAAGGGAAGAAGGCAATGCGCTACCATATTCTCTTTACCTGCACTTTCTGTGTTTAAAACCATGGTCTAATACTGTGTCAGTACTCAGGATATTAGGACTCAGGATTTGCTGTGCATTGCAGTTAGATTCTCTTGCTTGCATTTTCATGTAGATAGGTGTAGAAATCTTGAATAAATGAGTATATGAAGTGCAAACAAAGTTCATTAAGAAGCTTGGTTCTTGGATGAATTACAGTACTTAATGCAAGGTCATTGTCCAACTTTCCCTGGAAAGCTTCTGCAAAGGAGGAGGACAGGCCACCTGTAGGCCACAGCAGATCAAACGTGACCTGGGAGTTGTGGCCTGTGTGAGGGATCCCGAAGGGCGCCTGGCAAAGGGTCACTTTGTGAAGCAGGGAGGGTGGGTTGCTCTGCGGTGCTCTAATGCACCACAAACCGCGTGATGATCAGGACAAGCAGAGGTCCAAAGGCTGCGAGCAGTGCGGCGAGCGGGCGAGCTGGCCGGCAGCGAGGCCGCCAGGCCAGGGGCTGCTCGGCTGCGTCTTGTGAGGGAGCTGCTGGCCGGGCCGCGTCGCCTCTCGCAGGCCGGGGCTGCCGGGCACCTCTCATCCCCACACATGGCTCCGGAGCGAACCCAGGGAACCACCGACTTCGACCTTTGGCAGAGTCTGGAATAAAATAGCGAGATCCCTGGTGCCGTACGCTTGTGTGAGCAACGTGTGACCGTATGCACGTGACCGTGTGCCCGTGATGGTTGTTCACCACGTCAGAGGGGGTCTAAGGGACACTCCTGCCCAGCGTGGGCACATGCAGTAGGGGGTGCAGTCAGCTCATGGGATGAAGGAACCGGATGAGTTTTCCAGAAGCTCCTGACAAGCTTCCATGTCAAAGAGTACCAAGGAAGTCAGGAGGATTCATTCATCCTTTTCTTAAGTGCAGAAACAGTTTGTTTCCTTCTAAGAAAATCTGGTAAGAACTCTAAGRGTTGGGAATATCTCCCTGTATGGATCTGTGCTGTGACCTGCTTGGAGTCGTGTCCAGCAGCTGAAGGAATGCAGGATTATTCACTGAATCCTGTTTTTCCTGCTGGCGTTGTCTCCATAAATGATATTTTAATCAACACCTTATGGAGTTGGAGTGCATTTTTTATAGGTGTCCTAACAAACCCAGTGCATTACAGGGCTGCACGCAGAACCAGGGCCTTGTACTGTGGAGGAATAGAAATAAATATGATGTTAAGTAAGACAGTAGAAGTGGAAAATTTGACTTTTTTTTATTCTTTTTTTTATTTTTCCTTTTCTATGTATGATTAGCCTCAGTCATTTCAAAAAAAAAAAAGTTATTTTCATGTCTTATAAAATTTCAAGGTAAAGATTTCAGTTCTTCCTGAGTCAGTATTTGCCAGCTCCTAGGTTATCTCTGGTTTTTCAGCTGAAAACACTCCCTGAACCAAAGGTCTGTGTTAGGTTTGTCAGACTCTCCAGCACCGTCTACGTCAGGCCCAGGCAGGAGGGCTGCACACGCTCCCCTCATCCTGCCGAAGTAGCAGAGCTTGGGCCTGGCGTCCAGACATGCCTTGGACACAGATGAGTAACCAAGTGTGTATGTGTGGGTATAAATATATGAAAATGTTTATATATATACATGTTTTTATAGTAGAGGTATGGCAAGTGAGACCCTCCCCTGCATACCTCAAAGGGGAAAGCAATGAGATGTAGAATAAAAAATGAATGGAAACTATTTTGAAGAATGTTTCTTTTCTCTTTACGGTGTAAACTACTGCAGAACCACAGGAGGGCTGAGGTTGGAAGGGACCTCTAGAGATCAGCCAGTGCAACCCCCTGCTCCAGCAGGGACACCCAGAGCACGGGGCACAGGGTGGCAGCCAGGCAGGTTGGGAAGATCTCCAGAGAAGGAGACTCCACAGCCTCCCTGGGCAGCCTCTTCCAGGGCTCTGTCACCCTCATAACAGGACGATTTTCCTCAGGGTCAGATGTGGAGGGAAGCTGCAAGTAGCCGTCACACAGGGACAACTTTGGGAATGACACAGGCGTCAGCCTCGGAACCCGTAGGGAGAAAAAAAAAGAGCTAAAGAAAAAAAAAAAAGACAAAACCCGGACAGGATAAAAGAAGTAAAGCGGGGCCTG